TATACCGTGAACACAATGGCAGGCAGAAAAACCGCGGTTCTCTTATACCGTGGGATTTCTTGCATGTGCCGGAACAAAACGTTAACTACGTGAACGACACTCTAAAAGGTATGTTTCGGCAACCGCCGTCTTCGATCTGTCTTTGGGCAACCGCCATCTATAGCCTATCTCTAGGGAGCCGCCATCTATAGTCTATCTCTGGGCAGCCGCTATTCAGCACATCTCGAGGATGTTCCTAATGAAAGACTTATTCGCGAGTCCGGTTTCGGTATCTCTTGACAGGCGGCTTTTCCGAGGTCTCGCGACCGGACAGAAAAAATCAATTGACTGTATATCCCTGTGGGGAGGATATATCCTCTTCTGGGTTTTAGGCGTCTTGAGAATACTGCACCATTGATGTTTGTTGCCAATTCGGACCGTGCATGTCGACCTCGAGTCACCTTTCCTGTGATAATGTTAACACAATACCCCCCTCATAGGTGGAAAAGGCTCTCCCGAAGGTCATCCGCTGACTGATTGGCACGTCCCGAGGGCGGTCCCCATGACCGCCTGATTCGCGAGTCCGTTATCCGGTGTCTATTAACAAACTGCTTTTCCAAGGCCTCGCTACCAAAAGCAATGATCAAATGAATGCGTATTCCTGTGAGGAGGATGTATCCTCCACTGGGTTTTTGACGTCTGGAAAGCTGCACCATTGGAATCCGTCGGCAATGTCGACTGTGCCTGTCTACAACGTTTCACTTGGCAACCGCAAGCGACAGCCTTCTGCAGGTCATCTTTGGGCATCCTCCATCTAAAGCCTATCTTCTCGCAGGGGCCATCTACAACCTATTTCTGGGCAGCCGCCATCTAGAGCCTATCTTTGGGCAGCCGCCATCTAGAACCTACCGTGTCGCAGCCGCCACTCAGAGCCTACCTTTGGGCAACCGCCATCTTAAACATATCTTTGGGCAGCCGCCTCGCGACCGATCGTTCGGCGGGCGCCATCTACAACCTATCTCTGGGCAGCCGCCATCTAGAACTTGTCTTTGGGCTGCTACCATCTAAACCTACCATGTCGCAGCCGCCTTCACCTTTGGGAAGCCGCAATCTGAAGCGGATCTTTGGGCAGCCGCTATCTAAAACCTTTCTTTGGCCAGACGCCATCTAAAACTTATCTTTGGGAAGCCGCCACCTAGAGCTTATCTTTCGGCAGCCGCCATCTAGAGCCTATCTTTGGGCAGCCGCTATCTTAAACCTATATTTGGGCAGCCGCCATCTACAGCCTACCAAGTCGCAACAGCCATCCAGAGCCTGCGTTTGGGCAACCGCCATCTAACGTCTGTCTTTAGGCAGCCGCCATCTAAAGCCTAACATCGAGTAGCCGCCATCTACAGCCTATCGTTGGACGCCGCCATCGAAAACCTAGCTTTGGACAGCCGCCAGCTAGAGCCTATCTTTGGGTAGCCGCCATCTAGAGTCTGTCTCTAGCCAGTCGCCATCTAAAGCCTATCTTTGGGCAACCGCCATCTAAAACCTATCTTTGGGCAGCCGCCACTAACAACCTACAAAATTGTAGCCGCCAACCAGATCGTACCTTTGGGCAG